CATCAGCAAATCGCATATATTACACATACCGCACGCATAATTTACAAATTCTTATCGCATAAATTCCGTGTCCCTGCCATGGGGGATTCACGATATTTCCCAGATTTCCAGAGTTTTTAAGACCCGCTATTCGGATTTTTAATTTTTACTAAGCAGAATTTCCGCATTCTTCGATTCCCCCATGGGCATCTTTTTGAAAACAGCTGTAATAAACCTTAAGCATTTCGGTATTTCATACAATATTTGCATAAGTCATTTCTCAGTATGGTCGGATTGTATTATTACGCGACAATACAGCCAATAAATCAATAACTGATAACAATATCGCTTAAATACATATTACTCACTGTATTGACATTTGATAATTTTTTACTAGTGTCTCAAAAATATTGATATAACTAGAATGATGTGTATTAAGTTCAATTTGTCCATGAGTCAGCATTCTTGACGCTTAGTCCCGAAACGGGACTGCTTGGACTAGAAAGTGTTTCAAGTTTATTAAATCCTACAGTATCTTTATGACTTGACTAAGCCATTCTTTCGTAATGTAAAATTTTCTTTTTTTTATGTGGCAATTGGGCATGTGATACTGTTAATAATTTCAAAAAAACTTTTACTACGTATGAAAAATTGCTTTAATGTATTAATTTTACATGTAATTAGATAGTATTTTTTAACTTATATAAAAATTTGGACTTGGGCAAGCAAAAATTTTTAGGCATCAAAATATAATCGCTATGAATATTGTAAGCTAGTGTCAAAAATAAACGAATCTATCCCTTTCTGTTTATATTTTAAACAGATTTTTTAATAAATAATAATAATAATAATAATAATAATAATAATAATAATAATAATAATAATAATAATAATAGAAAGAAAAAAAACAAAAAATTTCTATAGTTTAAACTCCTGTGAATACATAGTAATCTAGGAGTTGATAGGCAGATTATCCAATTTATACCATTCTGAAAAAGACACCAATACAATAGCCCGAGCAGTACCATTTGTAGAACCAGTTTCAGGTGACCATTCGAAGTCAAGTGGAAGTTGTTTTTCTTGTGAAGAGTTATGAGTCAAAGTACTGTTTTTTGCTTCCGTGCTGCAACTCTTAAAACTTAATAAAGTATTTTCATTATTGAATCCTCCAAAATGATCCCCATTATCTTTTTGAACGTATATTAAAAGACCTTTAATGCTTTTCGGTCCGCTGATAGAAATTTTAATTTTTGGACTTGTTAATTTCGTTATATTGATAGAAAATCCTCCGGTCGTTTCTACTGCATAAGCACCGTGTGGACTATTTTTCATCTTGTCAACATCACAGACACCTGCTCCTGCTGGCCACGCGAATGTAAAGTATGATAAACAAATAAGTGAAATGGAGCAAATATTAAGAAATTTCCAAATCGTGTTTTTCGATATCATTATCGCTATGTTATGTTAGAAAGTTTTAATGTTTCAAGACTAAAATATATATTTTTCGGTAATTATGAAAAGAATTGACCTTTATAATTTATCTTTTATTTTATTTCCTCTAAATATATTGAAGATAAACCGCCAAAAGTCTCTCAACTACTGCTAAGCCATATATAATTATTTTAACTTTAGCTTGCAAATCTTATACATGTACTTTACCTTATAAACATAGCCACAAAAATTGACATTGCCGATTCTTTAATAGGTATTTTCCTCGATCATCAAAGATCAAATCGAATATAAATATTGTTTATAAAAGAAAAAACGACTACGAATTATTATAAAAACATTTTAAGCCTTAAAATTGGTTGATTAAAGTATTTTTAAAAAATTTCGTATTTAAGACTTAACGAAACGTAATAATTAAATAACAGTAGTTTCGGCCCGCTTTTCATTTGCGGTAGATTTCATAATTGAATCATGACAATGCTGAGGCAAAGTCCCGATATTAAGTATATATAATCGCAGATCTCGATCTTTAACGGTAAATAACGGGCTTTCCAAGAAAATATTTGAATCTTTTGCTTGTTTATTATGTCATCCCAAAAAGTTATGCTTGAAAAATAGATTATTGATTTATGATATAAGATAATGATCATGCAGAGATTAATATCATGAAATTTGTTCTATCGGAGCAAATGGTTGTACTGCGCAGCGGCCAATCGTTTGTTCTGACGGAATAAATTTTATGATATTTGATTCAATATCGATGTTACAAATCATTATTGGCTAACTGAGTTTTAATTCGAGATTGTTGTGCTTATGCAATAACGTACAAAAATAACGAGAAACTAGTAGTCTGCACGTGCTTTGCTACGTGAAAATTATGGTTATATTATAG